TTCTCCGCAGACCCGATGACACTTTTACGAGTATTGTCTTGGCTCCGACACCACGTCCCGGCTGGCACCGCCGACAAGGGGGGCAAGTAAATACCCGGCTGGACACTATTCGAAGACGTCGACCAACTTGGTCTTCGGATGGTGTATTGCACTCGCCGATGGGAAACAAACTGGATCAACATTTGCAAGGATCTTGCGACCAACCGCCAAGAATGGATAGCGGCCATCAGAGACATTCATCGAGCCGGCTTATCCTTTTCAAGGAGCCAGTCGTAGAAAAGTAAGAGTAAGGGGACGACCGCTACAACCTCAAACTGTGCGCCTGACCTGAGCATTGCTTGTCCGGTTTTCCCACCTGTTCCCGCAATAGCCAAGCCTCTGCACCGTATAGCAGCACTGGCCGAACTGCTGTGGCATAAACCCGACCCTTCACAGGCAGCCGGATGTCGCGACTCACATTACACCTGATAGATTAAGTTTGATTTGGCGTACAGAGGCAGGTGTTCATTAACCGGGGTAACGGGCTTCTTGCATTGTACATAAATTCGGGTTTCGCTGCCTAGTAAGTCCGGTTGACAACTGATTTTAAACTTTGATGGAATAGATTGGTAACGTCAACATCTTTGAATGGAGGATAAATCGTGATCTCTAATCTAGATGCTGACGTAGCAACCGGTTTTTCATTATTCGGTTTACTGAGCCCGTCAAAGAATTCCTCGGGATAACCATTTTTTACGCAACAGACTCATCGATTTTTGTTGCTCATTAGTCGACTTGCATAGGAATGAGTACGATTTTGCGTTTCGTATTCTGTACCAAGAAGAGTCAACCGCTGACCACGAGGCTTATCTTCGTCCTGACTGGTTTGGTGTTGAATACGCGAAATTCCAGCTCTGGACCCTACGGCCACTGATGGCATAGCCGGTGATTTTGTGTAGTTTCGTTGTTTGACCAGGAGACAGCAATAGTTGAGAGAAGTATTAATCTACATAGGGGATAAATCTCCAACTTATAATAGTGAAAATAACCTTTTACTCTGAGCGGATAGTGCAGTTTTGTCTGTTCTGATGGTTGTTAATGTACGTGTTAGACATAGCTTCTCTTATAAAGACCAGCGTCACAATAAAATGAATAAAGTACAAAGATCGACAGATGGGTTACCTGATCTCCAACCGGACGATAACGGATTATGGCAGCGTATTTACCAAATTTGACGTCACGAATTCCCGATTTGACACCATCAGTACTGATGTGAGCATAACTAGCGAGACGGCTAGGATCTCCCGGATTATGCAGTCCAATTGCACGGCGGACAGCAATGTTCTCTCCAACCGCACCAACAACGATTGCCACCGCATCACTTAGCTTCGTTGATTTTTCCAATATTAAATTATTGATGTTCTCGGCATCAAGGTGACTGATCGAAGGGTTTACCTGGAATGTTCACAGAACTTGTTAGTCGCTTGTAACTTATCAATCATAAGATACTAGACCAAAGTAACATTTATTCATAAACCGCTAATCCAAGCAACAAAAAGATTCCCTGTCCCGAAACGAGGACGAGCAACAATTCATGATTTCAGCACTAGAAGAATTGCATGATATTCATAATATAAAATCTCCAGCTAGTACATGTCCATCACGACGAGACTGCACCTTGGCGTGGTGTGATGGCTTGTTTTTATTACACACTTTTGTGTGATGAACAGCAGACGGGGTGGAACCCCATAATCACGAGGACCTGCTGTTCAGTGATGGAAACCGGTAACCTAAGCCCCGGGACTTGGAGTGGTAAACCAGATAAGGGGTGAACCCCATAGTCACGAGAGCATGCTGTTCAGTGACAGAAACCCCAAGTTACGTGTGGTATTGAACCGGACGACGGCAGAGCTGCCTACCACCAAAGTCGGGTGACAGTGGCGGGGCTCGAACCTCGGACCATGGGGTCTAAAGCACGCCGGTGACAGGGACTAAACCACTGCGCCACCACCACCCGTGCCTCAANCCAAAGTCGGGTGGCAGTGGCAGGGCTCGAACCTCGGACCATGGGGTCTAAAGCACGCCGGTGACAGGGACTAAACCACTGCGCCACCACCACCCGTGCCTCAATGACCCTGTGAGATATACAGGATGGCTTTTTACAGCCGTAGATCCAATCATGCCTGAAAGGTCACGGGGTTGAGGCCAGACAAAGCTGTCTCACAAAGCCAGCTGCCTGGGCACCTCCAGACTTCCTCCTATCAACATCCGCTCCTGGAGAGGTCACTCCAGCAAATAAGTACGATCAGGGGCAGTTAACCGGTAAAAAGAACCCGCT